TCGAATGCAAAATAGGAATTATACAAGCGCCAGTGTACAAAGTCAATTGCGCTGAGTGCAAGATAGAGCCCTGAAAGTCTCTTCAAATCTTCTTTACTAACACTCACATGACTATTCCATAGAAGTGGGTCAAAACTATTGTGAGCTTAACCAACTATAATATGTAACAGGCATGTTAACCCACTTATTTAAGGTAAAAAAAAAGGTGGTCATGTTTAAAGATCCCCTCCAGACAATATTGGACATGAGAATGGACTAAATCAATGTCAGATGATAGCATGGAGAAAGGGAGCTCTTAGTTTTTTCAAGAGACTGTGCCAGAAAGAAGATGAGTAGAATTCTCAAACCCAGCCAGGTCTTAGAGGTGCACCCAATCTCCAAACTGACAGCCAGGCCACATTCAGTTGTAGGCCCAACTCACTGTTCACTAACCCCTCTTTGGCCGTTTTCCAACAAATTAATTCTGGTTCTTGAACCAGTAGCATTTAAGATTCTTGGAACCTTGGTGCTATGTAACGAACTAGGTCGCATTTCCACCAGTTTTGAGCAGAACCATTCATATGGGATTCGTCATCAACAGACACAGGCACAATGCAAAATGACGTGAAGAATATAACGCCCACTTTGGTTCCCAAGGAAATCCTGCTATTTTTAGGTTCCAGCTGGGAACTTTTCAGGTTCTGAACAAATTTATCTTTAGTCAAAACGCTCCGAATGTTTCAAAACTAGGTCCCCGGAACAGAGCTGGTTCCCTGTTGGTGGAAAAGCCCTGTCTGAGGCAGGATCTGGTCCAAGTAATAGACAGCCAGATAAGTGACCTTTCACTGGTAAATAAACCAGCCTTTTAGCCCAAACTAGTCATTGTAATATATTGTCAATAACCACCTTAAAAGGCATTTGCAGTTTTGGCCTGTTTGGGTGTTTCTGTTTAATCAGCACTTGTTTAGAACTAATGTGGGCTGCTACTGCTGGATTAGCAACCTTTTCTGAGCATTTTACAGCCTGTTGTCTGTGTGCACGCAGGGAAATTGAACTATTGTTCTCAGATATAATTCATTACTGGTATGTGGAGGCTTTGTAGAGTATGCTTACCTCCACAGGGTATCGCCGGCCGTTGATGCTATGTTCAGAGCCTTCAGATCCATTGCTCGGACCCCAATGAAACTCCACTTTTTCTGCCTTAAACCTGCCCGGTAGCCCTGCTCCCCGAACAAAGTAATCATCCTTCAACATAATGGCCACTGGAAGAAAGACAAAAGGAGAGGGAGAAAAACAGAGACAGAGCAAGAAAGAGTGAATGGTCATACATCACTGAACATCTTTTTCAACGTACATAGTAATCATTCCTCTCAAAGCCACAGACGACAGAAAATTGGTGTCTGTTGTTGATGTGAAGGCAAATTTCAAAGATCTCTCAAAAACACAATCCAAACGTGTGCAAAGATACGTACACATTGTGAAACCGCTTTAAGGTCTGAAGAGACACAGACAAAAGGATGTATTCTGAAGACGTGTTAAACGTAGATATGTGTTTATCTTTTAGATTTGCTTGGGGGGGGACATGCTCATACAAGACCATTTCTGTCACTGTCATCAGCCTCGAAGTTCTCAAATGAGAGGCTAATTTGCCAAGCAAAATTATTTACTTCAGCCGGTACAAAGTGCCCTTGCAGTGTCTTTTGCTATTATATCACATCTGAAATATAGAGAGGATTAAGAGGGGGATTTATTTTCACATTCACATATTGCTCTGAAAGGACATTCCATTAACCAATGCAGCCACGTCTATCCAATACTTTATCATCACATACACTTAATTACACAATAACAGGCCCACTTCACATAGTCTGTGCTTTTGGAATGTCTGTTCACACTCAGTACACAGTTCCTAAGTGCGAGTAAGCATCATCCTAGGCAAAAATTAAATAAATTAAAATAAATTACAATCATATGTAGAATAAAGTTACTATCTGCAATGCTCCTATATTTTATTTGGATCACTGACTCCATGCTGCTAACTAGCTTGCAGTTTACAAATCACCCCATCAGCCAACAGCACGCACAAGCAACAAGCAACTCTTGCCGTGTGTGCAGCCTGATTGCTCACGTTTCTAGCTTGAACAAGCTTAGTTGACCCCGCCCCTTTTTGCTCTGTGCACCAATAACAGTTAAGCAAGCCTCAGTCAAATTTTGGACATGTTCTGCCTTTTCTGTACTTATGCTATGCTATGTGCTAGACTCGTCTGTGCTGAAAAGACAACAGCATTTTGAAGTTAGTTATAAGATAAAAGTGACAGTGGCACAAGTGTGTGTATATCTTTAGTAAGTAAGTAAAACTTTATTTATATAGCACCTTTTTGACACAGAGATCCAAAGTGCTTTCCAAACAACAAATAAAAAAA